TTCGAGTGGACCAAAGGCAATAGTCTAATTCAAGAACACCTAAAAGTAGAAGAATATAAAAAGACAATATCATCTTTACAAAATAACAGGTTAATGTACATAAACCAACTGTTAAACCAAAACCCTATAAAGTTTAAAAAGTAGAGAATAATTCAACTTATCCAGTATACTAGCAAAGGCCCTATCCCAGAATGGTATGATATTCTACAAAGAACCATAGCTAAATAAAGTATAGAAGACCTTACAACACTTTAGAAAAAGGGATAGGAAGAAAAGTGGCTATCAAAATGCACTAAACCTAAATCTGGTAAAGATAAATGAAAGAAAACCTGGATAGTTATCCAGAATAAGAATCAACAAATAGTATAGGGAAAATTGATTTAGAAGAATAGTCAAGATACTGTAATAATTCATTATTTCAACCATCAAGAAACAGAAGATGGCCTAGAAACAGGTCTTATCAAATGTGTAGGATGCTCACTAAACAATAGAAATAGAAATAATGTAATATAGAAATAGAATCAGATTTGATCTATACTATACTATTCTTAAACTATTAAAAAAATACTAAAAGAGCACAATCACTAAAAGTTTCATATTTCCTATTGGAACTAGATAATATAATGATCAAGAATATAATTTCAGAAACCCAAGATATTACAAATGATCAAATTGAAAAAATGGAACAAGTATTAATAGGAAATTGGGAACAAGAAATATCCAGAGACAATATTAAGCAAGGAGTATATCAAGATTACTTACTTGAAATTCTTCAGCACAATCAAGAATTACAGGAGAAGCTGACCTTCTACTTTGATGGATCCTTAATCGACCATGGAAATGAGAATGCAAAAATAGGTGCAGCATGAATACAAACAGAAGGAGTTAGAAAAGAAAGTAAATTTCAGACAGAAGTCAAAAACTGGCCCTTGTTCATAAGGGCAGAACTGGTGGCACTGATTAAAATAGTTTTAGTAGCTCTGATAGACAGTACTATCAAGATCTTCACAAATAGTCAAGTCTGCATCTCTAAATAGAAAAAGCTAGAGAAAGAAGATCTGAAAATAACACACAAAAAATGGCTAAAAGAAAAGAATTGGTCATTATGGTGAGAATGCTAGATCTTATAAAGAAAAAGCATATTCAATTAACTTTGATCAAGGTTAAAGCCCACTCTAATGATTCATGGAATGAAGAAGCAGACTGACTGGCCAAAGAGGTGTTAAATCTATTAGCAATAGAATAGAAGAGTCTCAAATTAAGCAAGATATCCATAGAAACTATGTGGCAAGAAGAAGTGGTAGACAGTTCAATACAACAGTTTATCAAGCAAATCAATAAAAGATTAATGTCTCTATCATGGACACAGCAATACAGACAGAGACAAAATGGTATCATCAAGTTTACAAGCATCAAATCTACTCATAGGATCTGGTATGAAATAGATTAAAAGATAAAAATACATGAGATATCTTCTTCAAAAGCTCACAAAGAAGAAGTTTCCTGGTTAAATTGATCAATTATAAACTACTTACCTTAGGCAAGCTAGTAATAAAAAGATTAGACCTATACAAGTAAGCAAGATGTATAACATGTAATCAGTATCAAGAAATAATAGAACACTTATTAGAATACTCTGGTTCTAGGATTGAAATCCTAGTGGCATGGCAAAAAAGATCTGAAACTTTTTTTAAAGAATTTGACAAGTTGTATAAAAAATGTAAGAAGGAAGTGAATGAAAAAATGGTACAACTAGTAGTTGACAATAAAAAAGAAAATGGCGAATTAGATAAATGGACCTCCAAACTAATAGAATCAGCCTCACAAACTGGTTCAAGCACTTTTAAATTTTGCATAGGATTAGTAAAAAGTGACGCAATCAAAGAAGCTGCTAATCTAAACTATTATGGAAAGAAGCTAGAAACAATAACAAAAAAATAGATTCTAAAAGTACAAAAGAAGATTTGTAACCAGATCTGAAAACAAGTCTGGAATGTGAGATATGAAAAGATTATAGAATAAAAACAAGAACAAAGAATTGAAAGAAGAGCAAAATATAAAGATTATAGAATAAAAACAAGAACAAAGAATTGATAGAAGAGCAAAATATAAGAAGGTTTAGAAAGCAAGAAGGCAAGACCCGCAAGATAATCCTAGTCACAAAAGCACAAGGCAAAGAGAAAAAATGAAAGAGAGAAAAAATAAAAACTTGATAGAAATTATAAGAAATGGGATTAAATATGTGATGAAGTGGTTGGGTTTTGATCCTTGTCAGAACATAATACAGTGATTCGCAGTAGTGACCTGCAGATGATGATGTTAGAAGTTGGAAAGGTTTCTACCTGAACTATTAATGAAGTGATAAATTACTCCTGAAGTTGCACTTAGAGTCCTAGATAAATATAAGACTTTGATGAGTGAGTTAGTTAAAGATTTAACTTTAGTGACACATATAATGTATAGCTTACAATTGTTTAATAAAACATATATAACTAACTTGACAAAGGGTTATAATAAAAAAAAAAAATGAGATAGATAGATAGGTTTCTAGACTTATTAAAATAGTATCAAAAACTAGTTTAAACATACTTAGCTTTTGTGCAAGATTAGTAGAAAGTAATATGACTAAAAAAGCTATTAACCTAAATTGTCATGGTAAGAAGTTAGAAACAATAGCAAAAAAATTGATCGTAAGAGTACAAACAAAGGTTTATAATTAGATTCATAAACAAGTTTGAAATATAAGATATAAAAAGATTATAGAATGGAAACAGGAGCAAAAAATTAATAGAAGAGCAAAATACAAGAAGACAAAATATTTTATAAGATAATTCCAATCACGAAATTATAAGGCAAAAAGAAAAAGAAAGAGATAGTAAAAACAAAAACCTTATAGAGATCATAAAAAATGAAATTAAATATGAAATAAAATAGTTGGATTTTGATTCTTGTCCGAACTTCAAAAAGTATTTACAATAATAACTTGTAGATAATGATGTTAAAAGTTGGAAGGGTTTCTATCTAAACTATTGATAAAATGAAAAATCACTTCTAAAGTTGTACTTAGAGTTTTGAATAAAAATGTTAATAAGTGAATTAGTTAAAGATTTAATTTTAGTATCACATATCAATGTATAGCCTACAATTGTTTAATAAAGCATATATAACTAGCTTGACAGAAGATTAAAAAAAAATAAGTTATATAGAGACCTGTGGGTCTATAGCATAGTAGTAGTGCTTCCAGGTTACAATCACAAGGTTCAAAGTTTAATACCAAATAAGGGTCATATGAGAAAAATAACCAAGTTACATGATAATAGGACTTCTGACCTCCCTGTTGATTGCCAGGCTGAAAAAAGATCTCCTACGAGGATTGCATGAAGAAAGACCTCTGGTCTGGTTATATGATTTATGTCTGATCTAATTCCCCTGAACTAGATAGGAAACAAATCCCAGGATCCTACTTTTAGGACTACGATAATTGTTTAAACATATCACTAATCCCAAATTGTACCAGCAGACTCTGGAATTCTGCTCTCAGGACTGCGATAATTGTCTGAACATTTTCTATCTCAAACTGTACCAGCAGATCTGAAATCTGAATATTCTAACTTGGAATATCTCAATTCGATACTTGCTTAAATAAAGGATCTGTTGAACAGGACTTGTTTGTGATGTCGCAGGTAGTGACAAAGAAGATAGAAATCCCTTCCAAGGTTCAAGTGAAAAGTATCAGGATATCTGGATGATTAAAAAATAATCCTTGAGGATTTGACACTAGTATATAAGTTAGCATAGTAGCATAGTCCCTTATTAACAGAATTAACTAACTATACCAACATCACCATTGATAACTGTTATCAACCATCTGGTCTCTAGTCAGGCGTGCCCACCTACAGGAAGGTTTTAAGCAGGTCTGTCTAGGACAAGCTATGATTTGTTATCATTAATCTGCATGTATATGTATGAGATGATTGATGTAATGCTTAAGATTTAATTATTAATAAAAAGCTTGTATCTAATATCAGTTGGGGTTTAAATAAAAAAAAAAAAAATAAGTTATATAAAAATAATAATTCAATAAAATAAAATAATATTTAAGACTTCTTATAAGTATTTTATAAATATATTATAAAAAAATATTTAATAAAATGATTTTATTGAGAATCTAAAATAGCTTTATATTAATATAAATTTCTATAAGATATATTATATACAGTATAGATATTTTTTAATCTTTTATTATTCTTATATATTTGTATATTTTCAGATATCTTTTTTTTTCTTTTTATGCAATTTAATTTTAATAATTCAGTAATTAATAAAATAATTAGCTTGGCATTTGCTAGTGACAAATTTATAAATAACAGGTGCAGTCCAAGCCTTATAGAGAGATACAGTAAAATAGATTAAACATAAAGATACGTTTGTATCAAAGAAACTTTCAGTTATGTTTGCATTGTATCAACATTGAATAAGACAGCCTTATAGTTTATCTTTGATTAATAAAGAGGTCAGCAGCCTAATTGCTGGGTTAAAAAAAAATGAAGTTTTAATTTCCGCGTTTTTCTTTTTTAAAAAAGATTTTCTTTATCATCATTAGAAGAAATATGTACAAGTAGAAACAAGGATAAACTACACCAGCAATTAATTAATATACAGTACATAATAGAAATTCATTTAAATCATTTATTTTCCGGCACTAAGTTTTTGTTTACAGATAATTTACAATAATTTTATCATTAATGCCGGTCTATAAAATATTCCCCAAAAAATTTTTCAGCAAAAAAATATTAATATTAAAGTGATCTAAAATTTTTTTTTAAAAAGGTCTTGTAACTTCTATAAGATCCGTGATTCTCAAGTATGGAGAGTTTTTCTTTAATAATGCACATTATAAAAAAGTTTGCCTTCACATTACAGAAACCTTTGTAAACTTTTTTTTTTATAATTGTAATCGTAATGATTTCTAGATTCGGTGTCCAATGTTTTTAAATGTATTATTCAAGTTCATTCCAAAAAGGGCTTGATTCCTTCCCATATTTGTAGACAACTAACTGGTTATCGTTGACCGCCGTCCATAGGACCGACAGTTTCTCGTTTAAATCAACATATCCGTTAGCATATGTGTGCCAACTACTCATCCGTTCCAGGCACGACACGCATTCTTCCTGATACATGCCGTGCACGAGATTGTACAGGTTTCGTAGAATTTCAAAATTATCTGCGCTCGTGAAGATGACTGTGCTATTTTTTTTCGCTTCACGAAATAATGGGAGTGTGTTGACCAAGAGTACTGGTAAAAATGTCGTGGGTGCGATTTGAGAGCAAATTAACTCCATAATATACGCTCGAGCAGTCTGAAATTCCCTCGCTTGCATTAACTCATGGAATAATCGATATTTCGACAAAAACTTCATGGAGTCAGGTGATGATTCATCAAGCTGAATACTCTCCATGTATTTAAATATATTTATGTCACCGGTATCTGTATAATAATCCAAGAATATGCGAAATATGACTTCCAGAGACGCAGTATCATTGGCATCCATAAAGTATCTAATAGACGGAGCATATCTTTTCGCTTGCAGATGTCTTTTACCCGCCACTCTCAATATCGTTTTTTCTTGGAAATCTAGTTCGTTGAATTTGCAGATGCTCAATATTTTGCTTAGTTTACGTTCATTATCGAATGGGACACTAATAATATGTTCAGCCATATAAAACTTTCCGTATGTTTCACATAGCCCAAAATATTTAAACGCTAATTGCCAGAGGGAGTGATGAGATACAAATGACTCGGCGAAGTTGAGCAAAGATAATTCTCGGATGTCAACGTCAGTTTCGGAACTATTGAGACCCACACGACGATTTATTTGAGAGTTTTGAACCCGAATTTTCCCAATCAACTCGAACTTATTAAACATATCGGATAAATGAGCGACCAACCATGGGTCAATTTTCTCGCAAAATTTAATTCCTTGCTCAGGATCTCTAGCCAAGAATGAAGCCAAAACTGTGTAAAGATCTTTGGTATTATCGCTCATAGGAAAATGTACAAGGCAATCACGCGTCTTTTCTCTCAAGTTTTGTACATCCCATAGCGGATGAGAGATCATCATGCTCATTAGTGCCTCTATCCATGATGAACTACCCTTAATAATGGAATCAACGTCTCCGCGTAATATTCTCAATATTGTTAACATGTTTTCAGAGAAGGCTTCGTCTTTTTTGTCGCTAAGTTCTTTTTCACAAGTTCTAATTTCATCACGCCAAGTCTTAAAAGAAACCGAGAATCTATCAGCATCCTGAGATCTAAGATGAGGTTGTGATAATATGATTTTCTTGACTTTGTTCGTGTACTCTTTTACGAATTGGTCCACGTCTTCTTTGTTTGAAACCGAATTTAACAAATTTATTGCTTTAGATGAACCTCGGAGAACCAATTTTCGCAGGTAAGACCAAAATAGATTTCCATCCTGATGCGATGCATTTTCTTCAAATTGTGTGTCATCACCTTCCAACGGATCAAGTAAAGAAAGCCATTTGTTCGACCAGGTTCTCAATTCGTTCGATAACCTCCCATAGAAATTTTGTCCTAAGTGTGCCAGCTCTTCATAATACTCTTTCTTTGGGTTGATATAAATAATTCCACACAGTTCCCATATCATAAGAATTTCTTGAAACGTTTTCAACTCAGGAAGAGCTTTTTCACCTTGAGACTTTAGTTTTTCAACACGAGCTTCTATTAACCGGGCATAATCCCAATAAATCTTGCACAAATTTGTTATTATTAATATGCGCGGAATTTTTTGCTCCCTATCGCATTCTGCCGCCTTCATAATTTTCAAATACGAATCACTGTAAAATACTGCTCGACTACTACTCCTATCTGAAAAAGAAAATTCATAAACTTGTTGATCGGGGTGCTCAATTTCTTCCTCGCGCTCTTCCACTGGAACCTTCCTAGAGACGTGACAAATGAGTGTGTCTACCGAGCGAGGATTGAATTTTGCACATAAGGTCTGATTTATCCCGGTCCAGTTTATCTCGTCGTCGGTGCTGATATAAGGAGGGTTGAGATAATAAAGTTGTATATCGTTCGACAAGTCACGATATTCCACAAATGATTCTTCGTTGCTAGATATTGCTGAATAAGATTCTGAATCACGAGATTTAAGCACATTATTGTAAAGCGGGTGATGCGCATATGTAAAATCTTCTAAGTCAGAGGAATGGACACGATCCGCCTTGAAGGTGAACGCTGTCGTGGGTAGCCGATTATTTGAACTAAACTGTTGAGGGATAGACATACTCGGATTTACCATGTTTATAATCATGCATCCTTTATAAAATATAATTATCACGTGAAATTAATAATGTAATATAACCCGCGTGTTAAGAAACGTACTGTACCTATTTTTTTCCTTTTTCGCGTTTCAACCACAACGAAAAAAATAATGTCAACCTTTATTGAAGATTTTACCTCTACTGCGAACGAAGATTTGTATTCACGCTTATCGCTTACTTCTGAAGCCACATCTTCTGAAATCAAAAACGCATACCACCGTTTAGCGCTCCGGTATCACCCTGACAAGCACACAAATGCGACGCCTGAAGAACGCGAAGAAGCTACACGAAAATTTCAGTCTCTGGGTTATGCCTATGCCATACTCAGTGACCCTCAAAAAAGGGAAATATACGACAAGACGGGCGAAACCGAAGGCTTGGACAGATTTGATAATCTTGATAAAGAAGGATGGGATGCTTTCTTTAGAGAATTGTGGTCAGGAGTGGTCAACTCTGAGTCGATAGAAGAGTTTCGTGCAAGTTATCAGGGTGGGTCAAGAAGAGATGCGTCAAATACTTTTTCAATTTGACTTCTCATTTCACAAATAAATGAATCATCTAATCTATTGTTCTATGATTAGGATCTCCTGAGGAACGCAAGGACCTCATTGAAGCCTACAAAAAATTTCAAGGTGACATGGAAATTATCATGCAATATATCCCATGCGGGACGGTGGATGATGAAAAACGGTTCATAAAGATACTTAGGTCTGCTATTTCTTCCGGGGAAATATCTTCTTTTAAAAAATTTACCGCTAGCACCAGCTCGGCTGCTAGAGCAAAACGAAAGAAAGAGTCTGAAAATGAAGCCAAAGAAGCTGAGGAAATGGCTAAAAAGTACGGATTAGATCAAAAATTGCTAAAAGGTAATTGCGGGAATGAAGAAGATCAGTTAAAACAAATTATACAATCAAGGGGCGAAAAAAGGATGAGCGCGTTATTGGAAAGTTTGGAATCAAGATATGCAGCCGGTAAATCCAAGAAATCAAAGCCAAATCCGAGTAAAGGAAAGAAAAAGAAAGATAAAAAACGGGACGACTTTATAGTATCTGAAGAAGAGGAAGAAATAGATGAACTAGCTCCTGAACCAACCGAAGAAGAATTCCAGGAGTTACAAAAAAAATTGATGGCCAATAAGGCGAGCAGTTCAAAGGAAAAGGGTCCAAATAAAAGTGGGAAAATGAACGGAAGTTCAAAAAGTGGGAAAGTCGGAAGAAGCAAACGCGGTACCGAATAATAAATAAAACTACATAAATATAATCTCTTTTGATCAATGTTCTTTCTGTGATTATTTCTTCTATATCATTCGTTATTTTTTGGATGCTAAATTATCGTCATCAATATTTACGCATAAATAAAATTTGCTTAGGGTTTTACACATTCAAAGGTATTTATTTGCATTCGAATAATGTTTAACATAAATAGGATGTACTTATTTAATAATATTTAATGTACAACAAATAATAATTTAACCTATCTGGAATTTATACTAAAGCTAAGATGCTTCACCTTCTGGGTTCGTTTGGTTTGCTTTAAATAATTCTTTTAAAGCATCCTCATCCTTCTTTTGACGCAATCTTTCAACTTCTTGTGCACCTCCCGTCTTCTTCAATTTATTTTTACTCACAAAATCCGTCAATTCTGCCTCGAATTCATCAATACGATTGGCTAATTCTCGTTCACGCATCTTTTCAGATTGCTCCAAAGCTTTCAACCTCCTTTCATGATCAGGCGCAACACTTCCGAGTTCAAGGAGAACGGTTTTGAGTCCCCCGAAACCTTCTTCCTTCGGTTTGACATGAAATTCTTTTGGCCTATTCGACTGAAATTCAACGACTTTCAGAATATTATCGAGTACTTCTGTCAGTTTTTTATTATCGTCCTGTAAATCTTCGATGAGCTCCTCTTGATGATTCAAGAATTTTTGTTCGTCAACGATTGCCTGTAGTTCATCTTCCCAAGTTTTTTTCCATGTTGGCTTGACCATCTTAATGTGATTTTGCAATGATTCTAGCTCCTTATCAACAGCTTCCGAATCTTTTCTCACTTGTTGAACAGTAGTTTCTCTCGGTCTTGCCCTTCTCTGTGTAACGTCTGTTTTTAACTCGTCAATGGTATCTTGAAGCCCATTCACCTTTGTCAGTAGATCACTTGTGCGGGCATTTAATTTCGCTTTACCTTCATCAATGAATGTCCGAGCCGAACTAGTAGTATTCGTCAAAACAGCATTCTTTACTGTTGCCGTCTGCGAAGTTAAAGACTCAAACAATTGTTTCGTCTCGCCCTGAAATTCAGTATAGAGCTGTCGGATTACTCCTAAATCTCTTCTAAGATTTCGAACTGCATCAAATTGATTTCTGAGATCGTTGGTGATCTTAGTTACGAGTTCATCCTTCGATCTTTTGTCGTCACCCTTATCCTTCACATTTGCGATGACTCTCTCTGCTATATTTTGAAATTGTTTTGCGCTTGGTGAAGGGGTGGGGGGTGCTGTATTATCTCGAATTTTCAACTCCGTATCAACAACCGATTTTTTAATGTCACGAATCTCCTTTATTAAATCTGCAAAACTTTGATCAAAATGCTTTTTGACTTGTTCCAGGGCTAACAGGAAAATTTCGCGGTATTAGAAAACGAACTCAAGCAACAGAACAACCCGAAAATGTAATCATACCTTCAAGATTTAATGCCAAAACGGAATTATTCTTAACTTCTCCAAGGTCCTCCAATTCGTAAAGTATCCCGAGCTGTGGTTCCCTAATGTAAATATTTGGAAAATCATCCATCCCAGGATTATACTGGAATTTCTCGATAAACAGCATTCTCAATGCTGAGATGCTTATGGCACCTTCGTATTTTATTTTCTTGATCTCCTTTCCCAGCTGTAGATACAATGTTAGAGTTTTATCTTGATCATTTTTTGGTGCGTTGTTAATCGTACTGGATTCATCGCTAGGTGGTGCATATTCAGGTGGAGGTGACATCTCGCGTTGTGGGGTGACCAACTCTGCTTTTTTCTCCACGTCATTCTCGTGTATTATTTCTCCTTCCTCTTTTGAAGATTCGATAATACTTGGTGGCATTAGCCCTTCACGATTCGAACGCGAACCAAACTTTCTACTTAAACTCTTCTGCATTGTAAAAAATGAATGCCGTTTCGAAGCACGGCGTTCCAGGTTATTGCTGTATTTCAGAGCATTCATGGGATCAGATGAACTGTTATCGGATAAACTGTTATCGGCTACGAGTATTTGAGGATTTGTTGAATTCTGCTGTAGCTCGCGACTCTCAACCAATTGCTGATATGCACTCTGTTTGGCTTTCAAGCCATGTAATAAGTTTACTATAATAACTCTGATGCTAGGAAGATGCTGATCTAGTGTTTTTGGAGAAGCCACTTCGCTCAAAGCTTTCTCGAGGCACGCTCTTAAATCTTGAGTAATGTTCGACATATCACTGTCGTTATTTATAATGTCGATAATTTAGCACAATTTTTTTATCGCAATCTTGAACCAACATTTTTTCTAAAAGTCGCCTACCTCGTATCTACCCCCGCTTGATTGAACAAACGTACAACTATATTAAGCTCACCACCCAGCTTCACATAAACATCGGAAACTTGCTGATCACTAGCGCATCCGTTAGACCATGAAGTCAACGCTTCTAGTAAAGATTTTGTAGTACCTAATAATTGCGTTACCGTACTTCCGATCGAATTCATCTAAATTGTTAATTATACATTGGTATATACCATGTAATTTCCAATTATGAAGAAAATTTACGAATTCCATAATATCATATAACTTGTAAAAGGTCAAATTATACTAAATTATGGTGTCCATAACATGATCAACTACCTACCGGAGAATGTCCTGTACTTCGTCTTCTGTGAAAGGGAAAGGAAGAAACGTCCGTTTGAGGAGAGGGTGAAGGTGAGGGTGAAGAAGAGGGTCTGCGTTGATTTGTAGGAGAGTATGAAATCGGATATGACTGAGCAGTACTAATGGTTGGCTGAGGAAATGGAATCGAAGGGTTATTAGGATAGCTCATGTCTCCAAATAAATAATTAAGAAAGAAGCTTCTTGTGCGTACAAAATCGTGTCACCTCGTGATAATTATAAATAATTTTGTATAACTGTATATATTATCAATAGTTTGTAATTATCAATTATTTCAAATTGATGAATTTCTAAAATAAAGATATTAAAAAAAAAAAAAGAAAAAGATTTAATTTGATTGATTTATTTAAAAAATATCTAATTAAAATATTTTTCTAATTTTAATTACTTTTTTTTTTAACCCACAATCATACCGCTTTGGCATGTCTTTATTGAAATATTGAGAGATACCAAAATATTTTACAAACTTTTTTGCAAAGGGATTAACTTATTGTTGATTAAAGGACTATACTACTTAAAAAATATGAGGAGTTCACTAAGCTAGTTCAGACTAAACAAAACCAAGTCTAAATTAGGTGCTCTAAGTCAGATTTAGGGGACAATACTATATTCTCCTAGTAGCTTGGCATAGTATCTCTAAGTCAATCAGGATTATTGTCAACAGTTTGTCACTATTGATTATCCTGAAAAATGATGAATTACTAAAGTATGACATTGGAAAAGAAAAAAAGAAAAATACAATTAAAAGCCCTTCAAAAGATTCTTGTTCTAGTTCACAGTTTTCTCTTGAAATGAATTTACTTGATTGAATATTTTCTAAGCTTCATGACATTTGAAAAACTTAATCATTTTTGAAAATAATTTCAAGAAGAATGTTTGAGAAACTTATCTTTCTACTGATATATGGATTCACTTATCACTAGTGAAACCAGTGCCATATTACAGAAGAGTTTGCCTAATTCGAATAAAGAAATCTTTTCAAAAACTTTGTCTGATCAGAATAGAAGCTTGGAAATCTCAGCTTTTGTCCAATAAAGCCTTTTTATCACTTAAGAAACTTAATGAGAGATGGAAGTCAGATCTGTTTGCCTACCCGTCACTTGTCTTTCAGCATCATAATTGTTTCCTAAAGGTCAAATATATACAGTTGAAGGGAACACTTTTTCTAAAACTTTCTTTTCTATATCATCAATAATATAATGAGACATATAAATATAACCAATAGGAGTTTGTTTACAGTTCACAAACTGACTTGTTTCATGTCAATCAATCACCTTTAATAAGGATTTGTGCTACCCAAAATTTAGGATCAAATTGAGAAAGACAAAATTCCTCAGAAAATTATGAAAGTAAAAGCTTTAAGAGAATCAAGACAATCAAAAAGAAAGAAAATAAGCTTTTTTACTGTAGAAAACCTTTATAAATTTCTCACTTCAAAGATCTAATAGACCTTCAAGTACTTCACTATCAGTTCTTCTTCCTTTGAAAACTTTTCTGCCATTGGTATCAAAGGTATTACTTAACTTTTTTTGATTACTAGGAGTCAAGTTTTTAAGTAAAAAGGTTTATAAATAATAAGAAAAGGATAGTAGTAACTCTTAAAGTAATACTTCAAATTGTTTTAAGGAAAGTGTTAAGACTTTATTAGTAAGAAAGTATAAAAACTTCTTGCAAACATCTTTTTTGTGTATGATTAGAGAATCAACAGAAAGTGTTTTTTTTTTTAATTTTAATTACTATAATTATTTAAGAAAATTATTCTTTTACTACTATATAAATATACTAATAATTAAAATTAATATTAATAAAAACTCTTTTCACAAATTTTTCAGATCTTTAGAAATTTTCTTTTTAGGCAATTCATATAAAAAAAGAGAAATATCTATAATTCAAGACACATATTCTTATAATACTAGTATATAACAATCATTTTAGTATAAAACAATATTTTATATATGGTTCTAGATCAATAGATTGCTGGAAAATATATACATATAGTAACAACTTTGACTTTTTCTCCTTTTTTAAGAAGAAGGAAAGAAATCAATATAAACTGATTTACTATCAGAAAAGGGGAGTCAATATCAACTTTATAGTACTTGCAGCCAGGCTAGTATAGGTTAACACTTTTTTTAATATTACAAAAAATCATAAAGAAAATATATTTGCTTGATAAATTAAGCAAATATCAAATCTTTCAAAACTCAAAAAAATATTAAAGCTTCCTAAGATCTAAACAATCTAATATACATACTCTATCCTACAAACATTAAAACACCTAATCAAAGTAATATGAATATATATATATATATAGACCTGTTATTAAAAACAAGTTTGATAAAGATCTAGAGACAAAAAAAAAAACTCTTCCCGCTGATCCTAAATTTCCTAAAAAAATTCCTTTTATGGTAATTTTCTTGGAAAATTCAGAAGCCAGCCTCAAAAACAAGAGAAATATCCAACAAGCAAAGAGA